CCTGTTCCCAGTTCCCAGGGATGGAATGGTCCCTGTTCCCAGTTCCCTTGTAGCAGGTGAGGAAGCCAAGGTGTTCCAGTCAGAGCTGCCAAACCCTAAGGGATCAGCAGGCTGGGGTTTGTTCCCTCAGTGCCTCTCCTCACCCCAGACACAACTTAGGAACTGCTCCAAACTCCTTACAGGAGCCTGCTACATTACCCACATGTGCACCACCCACGTTTTTGCAGTAACACTCCACTGAGGGAAGTTTTTCTGAAGACAGAGACTTCACAACCTATTGTTCTGGCTTTTAAATAACACATCACTGTTCTTGATTAACTTCCCTAGGTTAACTAGGAAAATTGCCCAACAAAAATATCTCTATCTGCTCCTTCTCTTACAGCTGTTGGAAAATAAATAATGGAAGGACAGAGAAAGCAAAAACCCTCAAATATATTGAGAAAACTATTTTAAAAGAAGCCCTCAAGCTTATCTTGCAGGAAAATCCCTTTTTTCTGACCTAAGAGGCTGAGCTAAAACGTAAAACTCTGCAATCTGAAAATGTACATGTCAGAACTTAAAAAGGAAAGGACAAATTTAGCCTCAAGCAAAATACATCTTTGGTGAATCCGAAAAAAATGATTAAAATATCAGTATACACAACTGTGTGCTCCAGGCTGGTATCATCAGTTAAAGTCTCAGTGCACAGACCTGTGCCCAACGAGCTGAGGGTACAAGCCAAGAAAAACCCCATTTCCCTGACAGATCTTCAAGCTTGCTTTACTTTAAAATCTCAGCAACTGTCCCACAAGGGACAACTGCTAAATTTAATATTGATGAAAACACCTATTTTACTGTTAAAGCATCTCAGTTTGTGAAGTATTTTTTTTATTAAAATAAAAATCCTGAGTACAGCTTGGCCAGGCAAGTGCTTTGCTGCTTCCACACCGAGCACAGTCACTCCCTGCTTCCCCTGCCTTATGTAAGAGTCTTTTTTCTGAGCAAAGTTGAAGGTCTAAGTGTTAAATGATGCTGCTGTTGCAGTTTGGTTCTTAATTGTGTACAGTTGTAAAGAGACAACACCAGCCCTTATGAAAGAAGGATGGTGTGAAGGAGAGAGCTTTGCCTGGGAATGACACAACAGATTCCAGCTCGTCCCCAGCTCTGTCACAAGTTTTCTGACATGACCTTCGGCAAAACCTCTCTGACTCTCTCTGTTCTTCAGCCATAAAATGAACCAGCATCACTGGGTTACCTCACAAAGGCACTGGGAGGTTAAAAAGATCATTTCCATAAAAGCAGTAGGGTTGTAATAAGTACAGGCAAACAAACGAGCTGTACAAGAGGCTGATCTGAGGTGGGTCCTACTTCAAAGAGCTCCCAAGCTCCACATCCCCACGCACTGACTGCACAGCTCTGTGATATCCTGGGCACAGAATGGACTCAAAAAGGGGGATTTAACTCCAGGCCCACTGTGTGCTGACTAAATGTCACTGGAGCCAATCCCAAATCCATTAGGTGTCCTTCACTCCCTGGATCCAGCAGTGAAGGGAAGGAACAAGGTCATCTGTAACAGAGCTGGACAAATTCCCTGCCACCACCTCCCAGCAGGAGAGGTATCAGTGACACTGAGCCCCCACTCCTTGATTCACTCCCCACCCAGGAGCACACCTACACACTGTCCTACAGGCAAAGCTGGACATGATGGAAAAAACCAAAATTCAAATAAAAAAATCCACTGAGCCACCTCACAGTGATTACAAGAGTCCAACTTCCAAATAATTTCAAGTCAGCACTCAATTGTATGTCCTTCTCCTTTAGCTGGGGCACAGGGAAGATGATAAGGACAGTAAAAAGGGACAGGAGGCAGTGGAGCAGTGGGGATCTCAAGGCTCATGTTGCCAGATGCACAAAGTTCTTGGCACAAGGATTTCTGAGCAGAGATGATGGACAGACGTTCCCTTGCGTCCCAAGTGCCCAGCCAGTGAGATACACCACACTTCTCATGACAGCATTCCATCAACAGATGAAGTTCTGAGAGAGAAAAATGTTTCCTAAGCTGGGTTTTGTGCTAGATTTGTCCTGCCCCAAAGCACCCCCATTTCAGTGTGGTTCAGGCTCCCAGGGCAGCCCTGCACACACTCTTTGCCAGTTCACCACACACAGGCAACAGCAGATAAATCACTGCCTCTGCTAAGACAGGCTCTCTCATACAGATTCTCATTCCCTGCAAAGGCTGAACTGCTGGGAAACAGCAGAAAAAAAATTTTGGGGGGCACTGTACACTTGCATCTCTTAATATCATGAAAATCTAGGTATTGCTTAGGTACCTCACAGCAGATGCTGCCTTTATATTCATGACTCCAGATGATATTTACCTTTTCACACGCTGCAAAATGCATGTTTATGATGTTAACTTTTTTTGTTTGTTTTTACTTTGAACTTCTGTAATTATCAGCCTTCTAAGAGAGTTTTAGGACAAACTTTCCTTAAAAAAAAGATTTTAAAGCACATGCACACACAGGCTGTTTTTGCAAAATGTACCAAATGTAAGAATTTGCTGGGATTTAATATTTATCCATCTAAGTTTAGTACACTAAACTTTTTTCCAAAGCTCAGAGCTGACTTAATGCCCGTTTTTCAGAAGTGAAGTTCAGGATGTGCAGCCACAGTCCCTGTTGCAGGGGTGAAGCTGTACTTGAGGAAACTGCAAAGAGAGCTGATTGTACCTTAACAGCAGCCACGACAGTCTGGTTGGTCCCAAAGGATTCTTGGGAAATCACTTCCAGTGTTGATGTTCCAGTCAAAGACCCAGACCTAAGGAAACCTCTCTCATCAACTCTCACCACAGGAACTTTATCTGGTCCCTCCAGGACACGGTATCTCAGGGAAGCCACTCGGTCCCTTAAGAGAAAACAAACAAAACAGAAAAACAAAAAGCAAGGAAGCCTTTAAATGAGGAAAACCATCTTTACGCCAATATTTTATGCAAATCTGAAAGACTCTTAACTATATGGGTTTTTTCCATATGTCTGCAATTAAAAAAAAAAAAAAAGCAAAATCTGTGTTCTAGTCTAAGAAAGCAAAGTTCAAGTTCTGACTCAAGCTGACTTGAAGACTTTTCTGGGTTTAGGTATGTATTGAAATCTAGTTTCCATCCACTGAAGCAAAGGTGACTCCAGATAACTCCATCTGAGGCTACACCAACCAGCCTCTGCCATCACTCTGCAAACAGTACTCGCAGGGAGGTCAGTCTGCCAGCCTTGCTTGATTTGCGATGGTGGCGTAACCACTTTGCTGTCCTGGACTGCAGCTCGTACTGGAGCTCCAGCATGTCTGGCACAGCAGCACTCAGTGGTGGTATGACTGTACTGGAGCTCCTACATGTCTGGTACAGCAGCACTCAGTGGTGGTGTGACTGTACTGGAGCTCCAGCATGTCTGGTAC